CATGGAAAGCAAAGGGGTGATTGGTGACAGACAACACAGCTTCACTAAGGTCAAATCCTGCCTGACTAATTTGGTGGCCTTCTGCAGTGGGGTTATGGAATTGGTGGACAAAGGAAGAGCAACCGACATCCTCTACGTGGATCTATGCAAAGCTTTCAACACTGTCCTACATGACATCCTGGTATCAAAACTGTAATGGTATGGATTTGATGGATGGACCACTCATTGAGTAAGGAACTGGCTGGATGGTCTTGCTCAAAGAGTGGTGATCAAAGACTTGATATCCAGATGGAGACCTGTGGTAAGTGGTGTTCCCCAATGATCTTGGTCTGGTGCTGTTAAACATCTTTGTCAGTGACATGGACAGTGGCATTGAGTGCACCCTCAGCAAGTTTGCTGATGACACCAAAGTGTGTGGTGAGGTCGACACACTGGAGGGACGGGAGGCCATCCAGAGGGACCTTGACAGGCTGGGGGGGGGGGGCTTGTGCAAAGTGCATGAAGTTCAACAAGGCCAGGTGCAAGGTTCTGAAGCTGTGTCAGGGCAATCCCAAGCCCAGTTACAGACTGGGTGGAGAATGGACTGAAAACAGCTTGGAGGAGAAGGACTTAAGAGTGATAGTGGATGAGAAGCTCAATGTGAACCGGCAATGTGCACTTGCAGCCCAGAAAACCAACTGTGTCCTGGGCTGCATCAAAAGAAGAGTGGCCAGCAGATCAAGGGAGGTGATTCTCCCACTCTATTCAGCTCTCGTGAGACCCCACCTGGAGTACTCTGTCCAGTGCTGGAGCACCCAACGTAAGAAGGACATGGAGCTCATGGAACAAGGCCAGAGAAGATCAGAGGGCTGAAGCATCTCTCCTATGAAGAAAGTCAGAGAGAGTTGAGGTTGTTCAGCCTGGAGAATAGAAGACTCTGGGGAGACCTTATAGTGGCCTTCCACTACCTGAAGGGGCTGCAGGAAAGCTGAGGAGGGACTTTGTACAAGGGCTTGTAGTGAAAGAACAAGTGGTAATAGCTTTTAACTGGAACTGGGGAGATTTAGGTTAGACATTAGGAAGAAATTCTTTAGTGTGAGGGTGGTGAGACACTGGAACAGGTTAGCCAGGAAGTTGTAGATGCCCCCTCCCTGGAAGTGTTCAAGGCCAGGCTGGATGAGGCTTGGAGCAACCTGATCTAGAGGGAGGTGTCCCTGCCAGTTCATGGGAGTTGGATCTAGATGGTCTTTAAGGTGCCTTCCAGCCCAAACCATTCTATGATATGATTCTGTGATGCATGGCAGAATGTGATGTTTCTTTAATTTTTGGTTGAGAACTAAAGTGTTCATTCTACCAGACAAAAAAAAAAAAAGTTGTTATTTTTCCTATACTTTTCAGATTTTATATTAGGAGGAAAAAAAAAATCAAAATCTCAACTCTAAGTTCACATCTTTTTGTATATGGTACAGTATAGATAATTAATTTAAGCAAATTGTTTATTCCCAAAAGGATTTTTTATCCATTGAATACATTTAATGATGTTCTGACTTCCTCTTGTGACATGTATGAACTCACCACGGCAAATAAAAGTTTGTTCTTAACATTAAAAATACTATAATACAGCTTTAATATATTTCTGGTAGGTGAGTAGTCTGGCTACTGACAGATTAATTGATTAGGGCATGTTGTGATTTTTATATGTAAGACAATTTTACAGAAGGAAGTAGATGCTACCAGTTTACCATTTCAGCCAAAATTGTGACACCAGTAGAAAAACATAGCACTATTAGGAAGAACTATGGCTTCTGTTGTTCCTTGCAGCCCCAGGGCTGGTTCCCAGGCATCCCTCTGCCCTGCTGGTGACAGAAACCCAGTGAGACATGAGAAGTGTGGACTGTAGCTGGGAGCTGAGGAATAGAATAAAATTCCTTTTTCTGTATTGTGGAGGGGTGTGATCAAAGTAGCTATGTGTATTTCTTCCTGTATCTTTCCTGGCTGTGTTAGAATATTTTTTTTTACAAGGTTCCTCTGGTGATTTAAATGAGCAAGGCTGTCATCTGTCACCTCACAATTTTTTGTCTCTCATAAGAACCTTTCTGCCCTGAAAGATCTGTGTCCTGCTGGGAAAATAGGCTCTTACTGGGAAATGTGACATTAATGTTGCTTAGGATAACAGAATAACACTGCCTAGAATAATGTCATTTCATCTTAGTTTTCTGTGCTCATAAAACAACAAAAAAACCCAACAAACCCCAAGAAATTCCTTTAAGTCCTGCTAGCAACTGAAGAGCATCTTTCCTGTAGGTGTGTTTAAGTTTTGTAATGACTAGCACACCTCAGGCCGAGCTTTGTTTCACCCCACTTCTTCATTAAAAACTGTGATTTCACATCTCATGGAGCTGCATAGTTATCATCAAATAAAAACTCCTCTGAGGGGTTGGGTGGTGGCTGTTGATTTATTTCAGAGATTGTGAATGCAGTCAAATAGGTGAGCAGGTGCTGCACATGCATCTGGACCCTCCAGCGGCTGTAATTTGGATCACAGCAGTGGTGATAACTGGAGACTGGAAAGGGACAGTGCTCTTACTGCAGAGAAAACCTGGCACTTCTGGTGTCGGGAATGTGAAATGTGGGCTGTTGCACGGCCAAAAAATTTACAGGTTCTGTGAAAGCATGCCTGGCCTTTATCTTAAACCTTGAGTGCATCAGTGGCGGGGAGGCTTTTCTCTCTCATCTTTTTGCATTCCACAAAACAAATACAAAGGGAATCACCACTGGATAGTTTAGATTTGTGCTGCCCAATTGTTTCCATGATCCTACAGCAGTTTACCCTAAAAAGGAATACTAAAAATCTTGTTTTGACTAAATACAAGCTGTGCAGGATTTTTCAATGTTAATTTACATTGCTTTTATTATATGGATGTTTCTTCTGCCAAATCACTCGAGTATTTTCAGAATAACAAGAATGTTGCACTTTCATGTTTGCATTTAATATTTATATATCTCAGGGGATATTTTCTGTCTTCCTGTATTCTTTATTCTTGCAAAAAACCTTTAAGTTTCTTTGTTTTGAGTTAATGTCCCTTCACCTTTGTACAGGATGGAGAAAAGAGGAATGGTTCTTGGTTGGGTGTTACTAATGATTTTTAAATTTTTTTGTAGCTGTTTCTGCCTTTCAATTAATCCATCAATCAAGTGTATGATAGCTTGGACATAATTTAAAATATTGTTGGGACAATTTAATTATATTTTTTTTTTAATCCAAGGAATTTGTGAATTTACTTCAGGTCCTGCAGGTTCTTAAAGAAAACGGAAATATGTATTCCTGAAAAAACCTCTGGTGGTGTCTATAGTAAAAACACAATAAACCTTTTTAAAACTGCAATTTGTGGTTAATATTAAAAAAGCCTTATCAGGATGATAGGGACGCTTTGCCTGCACCACCTTACTGTGCCATCAGTAGATTTCTTAGTTATATTCATAGAATTGAGAATGAGAGGCTGGTTAGCTTCAAGTTCAGGGCCTTGGATGTCAAAATTCAGGTCTTGAGCATAAATCTTCTGGTGCATATTCAAGGCAAGCCCTTCTCAGTATGCTTGAATACACTGAAGGGTATCCAACTTGGCAATTTTATGGCATATTCTTTGATGGTTCCTCACTGTGTGATTTACTTGCCTGCCTGGGACCTTCTCATGTGCTAATAAAAACTGATTGACAGGTGTGTAAGACAGAGGAGGAAACAAGAATGTACTTTAAAAGGCTTATAGGCCCAAATGTGAAGTTAGGCGTGAGGTTCGAATTCTGGGAAGAGCTTGTCTGTTCAGCAAAGGGCTTTTCTGCTCCAGTCTCAGAAGTGGGTGCTGCAGCTGGAGGCCTGTACCCCATGCCGCCCCGGGAGGGCCAGGGATGCTTTCCAGGTCATTCACGCTGCCGAGCACTTCTGTCTGGTGGAGAGCATGCTGCCTATTGAAGGGTTCTCTATCACATTTCATTTTGCTTCATAAAGTACAGATTTGATTAGTCACTGGTTTGGTATATGTGTATCGAGCCGAATGCATTGTAGAAACACATGTCTTTAAATAAGAATGAAGATTGGTTTTACAAAGATGAGATCCTTTCATCTTTGCTCACGTTGTCTTACACAGTTTTTTTGTGCTCTAAGTCTCTTTGGAGTCAGTGGGTCTGCTTGAAGAGTAAGGGTCTGTTAGACTAGATAAGGGTAGTGGAATCCAATCCCAGTTGCCACTAAGTTTATTTACTGTGCTAGAGTTAAGCTAGAAATGGAATATAGTTCCTCAGGGTACAGTAGGTATGCCTAGTCTTTGAAAAATTATAAATAGCACCTAGTTGGATGAACAATAAATCAGGAAAATTATAAATACATTCTAATAATCCATTCTAAGCAGTGGAGGTTTACACAATAGGCTCAATTCTGAATATCTGAGGAACATAGAGAATTTTAATCAAAAGTGATAGATGTTTTTATATCAAGAGTAACCTGTGCAAATTACAGCTTACATTTGTTCATTCCAGTTCTTGAATGAAGCAGAATAAAAATAAAATAAAGAATATAATAGTTATCTCAATTTTATTTATTCTGGCTACTTCAGGTTATCCCAAGGGTGTGTTTAAAAGAAAGAAGAGTCTGAAAATAATCTCCTGAATATTTTAAGTATTACTCAATATGAAAGTTGATCCATGTGTTACGCTTTGAATCATGCAGTAATCTCAGTATAATAGTTGTGTTATTTGCAGCAATAAAAAAGAAAATGTTTTTTGCATTCTAAAAGAAAATCACTTGTTTTTTAACCCCTTGAAACTTTCTAATGCTATTTAGAAGTAGATATATTGAGCAGTAGATTACTTTTAAGGTATTTGGTGTATCCTCAGTATAATACTTTGAGATGACTCGAAGCAGTAACATATGGGATAAAAAAAAAACCCACTTGTTAATAGAGAATGGAAAATGCCATATTCAGCTTCTTTCTTTTTCTTTTTTTTTTTCCTTCCCTACTCCACAGGACATTAATGTATGTATCCTTGAAAACTACCCTGAATGTTCAAATCCCAGGTTATTTTACATCATACCATATTTCTGTGGACAGCATCCAAGATGCAGGTAAATATATACAAGGTATCCCAGTTTGTTCAGCAATAGCTATTGCCAACATTTTGTCAGAAACTGGTAATAAAGATGTAACAGTTATTTGAAGTACAAGAGAAAAATGTAAGTACAGTGTAGTGCTTTATGTGCTAACTGCATGCATGTGTTCTGGAGTAAGGAGGGTAAGGCAGATTTAGTACTATTCTCTTTTCTGGTTTTAATATTTTAATAATTAATCAAATCTTGGTATATTTTTTCTGGGTTGGCAAAGTGAGAATGGCAGTAGCTGTATGTGCTCATTACTCATTTTACCTGCACTGTATTTTTGAAATACATATTTTACCTCTGCTCAGATGCTCGTACCAGGTCTATATAAGAGGAATTCCAGGTTTGTGTGTCCATGTAAGAACTTTGAAAATACAGCCTCCAACTGCTGTCATTGAGCTAGCTTATTTTTAATGTGTCTATTTATGCTATGCTCATATTGTAGTATTACTGATACTGTATAGTAAACTTTTATGCAATAATATGTGAATAATTTTAAATACCTTTTCGTTTTCAAATACTTTCTTATTGATGGTCAAAGCATGTTATTTACTAGGTTTGTTCAACTTCAAGTTATTATCTTTATGTATTGTTGCCAGTTCTCCACAGTAGAACAGCTGCACATGTTTTTTAAAATTTCTGTCAAAAGCCATACTTTTTAATAGCAGTAATAACAAGTGAAAATGTGTTCCTTCTTATGTCTCAGTTTCTAAAAACCTTTGCTGTAAAATCCTGCTTTAGTTGTTTGGCATAAGGGAAGTTCTGATTAAGAAACTAAACAGATTTATTACTTCGTTTTCGTTACACTTTTTTACTTGATGTATTTTGACCTCGTTTGTAAATGCTTCTAGTTACACATTTAACTTGTGCGTATGAGGAATTCTACTACAACAGTAACTTACCTGAATTATTTCACAACACATCTCTGTCAGATTCCCAAGCAGTATATTGAAGTACTGTTCTGTAGATTATTACAGACCTGTTTCCTAACATGCCCTTGCACTTCCTTCAGCTACTTAGTCTCACAAGGAGCTGCAAGAAGGAGGCTTGACGTACTTGTTAGGACACTCTGCACTTCCAGAAAATGGACGAGTGCACAGAAAGTAGTAGGGAATGAAAAACCTCATCCAACTGTGCTTTTGTAGGAGTGTAAAGCAAAAAGCTTTTCCGCATGTCATCAAAAGAGCTTCTGACAAATGTTGTTAAAATCACTATTGCACAGAGTTTGCAATAACCTGATGGAGCCAAGAAAGAGGAGTGATCTCCAGCCATTCTCAGGTAGTATATGTGATTCAGATGCTCATCATACCAGCTGGACCCTGTGAAAAAGCTGGTTTCCTTTAGTTTAGGGTGCTGGCATTATATCCCCTATCAATATGAATACTGACCACTGCGCTCAGGACATAATTGGTGTGAGTTAGTCTAAAGAATTTAGGATTCATACGCTTGTCTAACCAAATTGTGCTTCCAGGAAACTATGAGAGAAGCATAAAGATGTACTGGTGTCCTACCAGCTTCTCTCACTGGGGGAAAAGATAGAAAAAACCCTGAACTGATCTTCAAAACCAGTATCAGTCAGATTAAACAAACACAAATCTGTAGCAGAGCTTCAAGGCAGTCAGAGGTCATGGCAGTGAAAGGGAAGCTCGTGGGGACTTTGGCAGAAGTTAAAATGAAGGACAAGATGGAAAGTAGCTGGTAGCCTCCTGTGTGGTATTCACTGAGCAACAGCAGGCAGTGGTAGCTCACAGCAGTTCTCCTGATGGGGTTCCGGGAAACTGCCACTCCTTAGCAACTCTTGTCACCCAGGGAAGTCATTCTTCCCATGAAACAGGTCATGCTTCTAAGTCATAATACAGTTCACAAGTTTGAGTTTATAAACAACTTGGTGAAAGATGTCTTCAGAATGAACTACTTCCATGCAGTGATTAACCTTCTTTTAAGGTGATCATATGTTTACGTGACAAACCAATTCTAGATATTGTGCAGAAAAGCTCAATAAATCACTCAGGTTTGGTGAGGGTTCTTTATGTTCTGCTAGAAGTACAGTACTGAATATTTTTTATTCAGTTTGTTCTTGGTATGAATTTCCAAAGAAAATGCATATTTAAACTTATTTTTTTCCTGTTTTCTCTCTCCCTCTCCATTAATTTCATATAGGGAGCCTGGTGAATGGGCCCTTGAAAGAGCAAAGCTGAATGTTAATGAAAATTTTCTGCTTGTGGGCATTCTGGAGGAGCTGGAGGATGTGCTGCTTTTATTAGAAAGATTTTTACCTCATTATTTCAAGGATGTGCTTAGCATCTACAAAAATCCAGGTAACTTTTTCCATTAAAAAGCTATTCTTACAGAAACTTTGGCCAAACCTACATGGCTGCTGAAAGGTACGTGTTTATGCCTTGTTTAATCCATGTATAGATTGTTCTTCCTTCTAAGCAACAGATTTGATTGATGGGGAAGGGTACATACTCTGCTTTTATTCTTAATGCTACTACTGTGTAGTTTTCATTCCTGGGCAAGCACTTGGTGCTCCAGTGATCTTGCCAAATGCCAGAAACCTTTTCATTTACCACTGGAGTGGCTTTTTTGTATTTCAGTTCTGTCATGCTTAGCTCTCAAATAATGCTATCAAAATATTCTCCAACTGCTGTCAGCGATATCTAAGTTAACCTTCAATAAATGGTTTGGAGAGCTGGACGTTTTGGAGATTCTCCAGGACCAGAATATTTTATTTTCCCTCAGCCTTGTCTAAGAGGTGAAATGAAACAAACCTTCAGTTCAACTGAATTTAGATAAAGTACAAATAAGAACATGTATTTAAAGCACTTCTAAGTACAAAGCATCCTGAGGGAAACTACTTAGGAGACTTGAGTAGAGAAATGAAAACCGAGAGCACTTAATCTACTCCTTAATTGGTACCCGACCATCATTCTTAAAGGGTTCTCTCTTCTCTGTGTCAGTCCATCCTTCCCAATGCTTATTTATTGCTAACTTCTTTAGAAGGCAGTCATGTCCTATGAGTGTCCTTGTGTCCTGTCAAGAAATATGATGCTTCTGTGGGGCTGTGTATGTCATTCCAGCAGAACTGATTTCCTGCTTACATTTGGCTGGGCCAGCAACATCGTATGAACCAGGGAGGAATTCCTCCTTGCTCAGTTGCATTCATGTCAGTGTGAAATTCCCACAGCCAGAAATGTGCATTTTGTACCAAGTTGTATATTAAAACCACAAGAATTAATGATATAATTTTGTTTGTAATACATGTAGCTAATGGCTGGCTTTTCACCGAGAACAGCTATCACAGTAATTAAGTCACCTTGGTGAAATTACGGATTTCTTTCCATAACCAGGGATTATAAGTGACTGTCCACCAATCCCTCCTTCCAGGATGCCTCTTTGAAAATTTTGTGTTTAGCAATGATAGAGGTATTACTGGGAAAGTGTGGCATTCCTCCTCTGAATGTGATTTCAGTGAGTCGTTACAGCCTTGCAATAAGGCAATTAAGGCTGCTATGTAGAAGGTGTGAGTGTTCCTTTGTTGTGGTGCTATATCCAGCCATGGAGCTATTTTGCTCACTAACAGACCTAAGGAGAGCATTGACATTATGATTGACACTGGGGCAGTGCCCAGTTTTGGATCAGTTATTTCTCTTTGTAAATCAAAAAATTTTGAAAAGCTATGTTTGCAGTGTGTGGAAGTCTTCATAAAGGTTTGCACAACTCAATCTCCAAGATTTTCCTGTGAAGATGTTAGAGAAGAGGGAGGCAGGGTATCAGTAGAAGGATGCTCTCTGCAGTGAGTAGGTTTTTCTTTGGAATTTGTAGAACTTCCTCAGCTGTATGAGCACCACACATTTTCAGTTCTCATACAATGGGACTTGCTAACAAACAGCATGCAGGGTCTTGTTTTTCATCAGGGAGCCCTAGAAATCATCAGGTATGCAATAAGCAATTTCCAAGAACTGTTAGGTGCTGGATAATCCTCTGTGTATATTCCACTATCTGGGGGAGAGTCCATCCCCTGTTTCAGATCAGTTATTTCCTCTGGGTTTTCACGTGTAAGACTGGTCTTGTGTCCTATCTGAAGATTCACCTCATTCCTTCCATGCTGATTAAACTTTTGGTTTATGTTTCCCATTCAGTTACTGACAAGGAAGAATAGAAAGGAAACAGTTTCTTCGTGTTAACTCCTCTCTCTCCTCCTGTATATGTTTGGGGGTTGTTTCCAATCATAATTATTTTCAGGTTATTTCTGAGTTGGTGCTAATGCTTACAAAAAACTTAGCAGAATCAGCCAGAAAGAAAGTAAAATAAAATCCAAGTGCTATGTAAGAAATCCTACATCTTTCTTCTCAGGGCATCGTAGAAGTGATCTGCAACACCCTCTGCTGTTGCATCATGAAGCACTTTGAAGAAGAGATGCTCCTCTGCCCACTCAGCTGTGTGCTGGTCCCAGGAAGGAGCAGATACTTCGGGCCAAAGCTGACCTATTGTTGCAAATAACACTTGCAGATTAAATCTGTACAATTTACAGTTTTGTCTGCTGGCCTGCTGCTCCAACTGAGATAGTCTTATGGAAATTTTTCCTCTTTTTGTATAAAGTAAAGCTTTTCCAGCTTTTTATCAGTTTAATATGTTGAGATGAGAAAAACACAGTGAAGGACCAGGTACAGAAAGGTGATTCACTTCCAGGTCAGTGAATCTCTGCACCAGATTCCACTAAATAAGCATGTCTGGATTACGCACAATTAAAAAGCTGGATTTGCAGAGCTGCTTTGAACCAGAAAGTAACTGAAGGAATGCAGTTTCCATCCAGTGTTGCTTTAGTGGATTCCATAGATTAGAAAGCAGAACAGGAAATTGGTGATTGCTGTCCCACCAATTTCATAATGTAAACCAAATTAAAAGCAACTACCTCATGCTGTAGGAATCAGATGGCTGAATGTTACCAAACCCATAAGGTCACATCTGCATATAAGATGCAGGAGTTCTGGGTTAAATCCCTTCTTCTTCCCAAAGTTGGGACCCTTCTTTGTCATTAAAGGTGCTTTGGGTGGGCACCAGAGCACTACAGCTCCTATCCAAGCAAACTTCTTGTAGTGAGGACACTTCAGTATAGGTTGATGTTAATAGAAATCAGGAAATCTGGGAACTTTTTCTTATCTCATTTTCCATTAACCATGCAAGCCCTAATCAAGGTTCTTTTTTTTCTTCTGTATCTGTAGTAAAATTTCTAATGCTGGGACAGCATGTATCATTTATTAAGGAACTCTTGCTCAGTGTCCTTTTAACTAGAAAACAAAGGCCTGTAGCCTTTTTACCTTCAAAGAATATTTTGCTGCTATTGTTCTGAAGCAGGAGATCAGTAAAACTGTGGCTCTGTTGATCAGATAATGGGACGTTTACAATAGAGAGCACAGAAATGTGAGGTCAAGTGTCTCTGTATATGTAAAGACCCAGATAAATGCTTAATGCAGCATGACATGAGCACTTTTGTTGGTGATGCTAATTATGTGTTTTACATAAGCTCGTGTAAGGAAACCGTGAAGAAAGGTAAAATACAAAAAATTAAGAGTGAGATTTTTAATATTTCACTTGCCAGCTGCTGTGTATTTGTTCTGTGCTGGCTTTTTCTTTTCTTTTTCATGGTGTCACATTTTGAAATGCACACCAATTTTCCTCAGATTTTATCAGTTTAAAAAAGTTGGCAATCCTGTATGACAGGAAATTTTAGTGTCATAGAACACTAGGAAGATTATTTACTTCATAGCATTAATTAAAATGTTGCCTTTAGCTTATTCATACACCAGGTATTTTAACCTGTGTTTTTGTAACAACATGCAACAAAATGTGAAAGCTCTTTGTGGTGGTAAAGCTTTCATTGGAGCCAATCTAATTTTATCTTGTACAATACTTCAGAGCTACAGGCTTCCTGATTTTCTCCTTTTCCACTCTCTCCTTGAAATTAAGTGTTCTTCTAATGTTGATAATGAGTCAAGTTGCAAAAGGACTCTCTTTTTTGATGCTTGTTTTGTCTGAAGTGACAAACTCTTCCTGCCATGACACCCAGAAGTGCTTTTGACAAGAGATGAAAAGGGAAGGGCATGGAGGAGGAGGGGGGCAGGTGGCAGATGGATTGTGGAGTAGATTATTAGATTGATAGGTGAGTAGAATTTAAAAAATAATAATAATTTAAAAGTTACCGTGTTTACTGGATTTCTTTGCTGACCCAGTAAAATTTGCACAAAATTTTATCTTTCTCTTTTCCCTGGCACTGGGTTAGATAGGGTGCAACTGCAGAGCCTTGGATTATATTTACTTTAAAATTTGGAAGTATTCCCTTAATTCTTTGAAAGGTCTGAAATAGTTATAACTTTACATGTAAAATCTCTCCTTGCTTTCAGGAGCACAACTGAAGGAAAAATAATTGGTCAGTCCTGTTCATTTTTGCTGGCTATAGTTCACTTCCATAGCCTGGCTGGTAGCCAGAACACAGACAATGTTTACACAGTTTCTTTTGAAATAGACATGTGTGGATTTCATATCTTTGGTGTTCTTAAGAGGCAGAAAATACACTCTAAACACATAGAATTTTCTTCTGACTTGCCAACCTCTGTGGCATGGGGCAATAGTTAACAGCATCTAATGTCAAAGAATAGGCAATAAAATGTTTTTTGTCGCCTCAGAAATAGCCCATATCCTCTCACCTCTCTACAGGAGCTCATAAATTTTCTTTGGCATCAGAAGCCCTATAAAAACACTTCTTCCCAATACCAGAAAAAAAATAATCTTTGTTTCCTGAAAGTTACATTTTGCACGGAGAATATGTAGATCTTATCTAAAGCAAGAAGACTGACTTAAGCTTTTCTAACAGTGAATTTTATTGAGTGCAATGAAAATACCCATGCTGTCAACTGGAACAAAATATATTTATCAGGTAAACTGTAAAATGTGCTTTTTTTTGAAAATGCAATGAAAATATGCTTCTCCAGAACCACAATTACAGGGAATGTTCTAACTGTAGTAGTAATATTATCCTGAGTAATAGAAGCCTGCTGGTTTTTTAAGTTCAATATGTTGATGAATGCTAGTGACACAGTCTGGACTTTTTCTGTTTATAAGCTTCTCCTTCTTTTTAAACCCAGAAAAGAGGGAGATGCTGCCATTTGTCTTTATTGCAATCCTGAGTTCCCATGAAAAAGATGATGAAGCCTTCTTTGATGGAGTTTGGAAAAAGATGGGATCAGCCCCAGAAACCTTTTCACTGTGCTGAAAATTGCCCCTGTGCCTGGTCAGCACTAAAGTTGGGGCATGCCTT